CAGCCTCTGTTTAAGAACTTCCAGGGAGGGAGAACTTCCTTCCTTCCAAGGGAGTCTATTCCACTTTTCAATAGTTTTAATTTTTAGAATATTTTTCCTACACAGATCCTAAGCCTGCCTCTCTGAGACTTCTGTCATCTGTCCTTATTCTGCCTTTGGGGCTGAGCATAACTAGCTCAACACTACATGACAACCCTTCATATACTTGAGGACAGATATCAAGTCTCCTCTAAGACTCTTCATTTTTGGGAGGAGTTTAGGATATGAGGGGTTATGGTCTGGGCCAAAAGATGCTCCTGGGGGAAAATCACGGAAGATAGGACCCAGTCAGGACAATGGAAAAATGTAAATGGAGGGAGGATCTTATTAATCTGGAAGATAACAATAATCTTATCTTTTTTCTGCAGTGGACAATTGTCTGAATGGAAAGTTCTGATGTTAGTGCCAAGTCAGACATTATGTCGAGTTAGGGAGTCAACTACTGAGGTCAAGGGAGATAGAAGGTAGGAGAAGAAGGCTTGAAGTTTATCAAGTTGAGGGCAGATCCAAGAAGGGAAGGTTTAAGAGGTCAGAACTGAATACAGTATGAGCAGAAGGAAAAAGTTCAATAAATCAACAAATCTGCATTTATTAAATATACTATATTCTGGGCACTCTCTAAGATATGGTACTGTCAGAATAAATTGAGATTGACACTATTAGATATACACAGCCACCTTCTGATGTCCCCAAGTATCTTTTATGCCCCTTCCCCTCTCCTCAATGGGACTCAAACTTCTGGACTTTGAACCCATGATTATTCTTCCATACCAATCAATAAGCACTTTATTGAGTGTCAGCTATGTGCCGGGTACTATGCTAAGCACTGGTGATACAAAGAAAAGAAAAAATAATGCCTTTCCTCAAGGAGCTCACAGTCTAATGGAGAAGACAACAGGCAAACAACTTAGTACCCTCCATAGAATGGTAGGTATTTAATAAATATATAGAATCCAGATCTGGAAGGGACCTTAGATATCATCTAATCCAACCCCCTCATTTTATAGAAAAGAAAAGTGAGGCTGAGAGAAGTGGTAGTCACAAAAGTGTATGGCAAAGTTAGGACTTTCCAATTGCTGGGCCTGCGTTTTTGCCTTGGTAGGTAGTGAATAATTGCTCAATGTGGTTTGGTTAACAGGGGGTTGGTTAGAACCTCAGTGACCCACATTGGCCTGTTTACCACTTGACAATATTTATGGCCTGATGAAATAACAAATTGAAAAGTCTGAAGCTGTCTTCTAAATAATGAGGCAAAATAATTAAGAGATAAAATTATGCTGCTTAAGGACCCCAAGCTATGCTCAATTTCTCTAAATTTCCCTACCACTAAAGACTGTGGTGATTGCTTTTAAAACAGTTGATAATAACCTGTAAGGAGAGATTTCACTGGATGATGAGACTTTCCATCCCTTTAATATCTAAAGTGACAAATGAGCTGGTCTGTCTTCTTTAATAACAATCATTTGTCACTGGGCTTGTCATTGAGAAACATGACTCCATTGCTTAAGCTGCTGAGGATATCAGTGATGGTGAATTTTAAGACATAGAATCATAAGATTTAGAGTTAGGAGGAACTTTACAATAGACTACTAGAGCTATTAAGCCCCTTAGAGGTTATTCAGTATAATCCTTTCACTTTACAGATGACAAAACTGAGGCCCAGGGAGGGTAAGTGATTTGACCCAGGTCAGATATTTCAAATGAACCAGGAGCTGAATTGAAAAGTTGTCAGTGAGAAGAGAAAAGAAACTGGAGTTTGTCAAGAATCAAACCCACCTTGTAATTGGGGGATGCAACCAGGCCCAGGCCAAAAGTTGGAGAATGCTTGATAGGAAGTGGTCCACTATGCACCACGTGCATACCTTTCTTGTCTATAGGGTTTCAAGGTTTACAAAATGCTTTCTCTTACAACCACCCTGTGTGGTGGGTGGGGAGTGCAGATGTTATCCCCACCGTAGAGTGTCAGAGCTGGAAGGGAACTTAGAATTCATTTAGTCCAGACTCCTTCTTAAAAAGGTGAGCAAACTAAGGTCTAGGGAAGGAAATGACTTATTCAAATCCCCAGATAGTTAAGAGCAGAGCTCATTTCCTGTCTGCTTGTTCAGTATCCTTGCTACTACTACCAAGCTGACAGACTGGAAGGCTGGTAGGTGAGTAAGTCAGTAAGTTAGGTTTCTGTAAAAAACCTTTCAACAGTGACTAACACAAAGACATTCACTTCTCACTCCAGGAGTGGCTGCTAGATCTTGAGATTAACCAAAAAATTACACATCCAGTGGTCTCCATGGCAACGCAGATGGATGAGTACCTCACAGGGCTAGTTGTCCAACAGCAAATGGATTTTTTCACTTGAGGCAATTGTTGGATCCTTATCAGTGTTTTTAAAGCCTAGAGAAGAGATTGCTACTGGTTTCTTCTGTATTTTTCAGATTATTTGTCCTTCCTTTTTCTAATCATTTCCTCAAAAAATCCTAAGGCAAGGTCCCCAAAGTCACCCTGAGTCACATGCTCAACAATAAATCCATCTGTTCAGGTTGAAAGGATGCTTCAGCTTTAATTTTCAAACCATCTAAATAATGACTTTAACCTCAGTTTGAGGGGAAGACTGGACTGGAGATTTCTTATTTCCATTTCAAACACCACAAGTTTAATTGGGAATAATTTCATTGCTTTATTCTTTCAGAGTATGTCATATGTAGTATATGTACTATGTGTATATGTGTACATGTAATGTGATGTGTATAGTTGTGTAATGCATAGTATTACTATGAGTGTGGTATGTCTATGTTAGACGCATGGTATATGTATAGTACATGAATGTAGGTGTGTATGTGTGTGTAGTGCAGTATAGTGTATATGTGTGATATGGTATGTATAATATGGATATTGTGTGTGATGTGTATGTGTAGTATGTACAATGTGTGTTATATGAGCATTGTGTACATGGTATGTCTGTAGTGTGTGGTGTATGTAAAATGTATGTAACATGGTATGTGAGTAGATGTGTGTGTTGGAAGAAATGTAAAGAGAATTATCCATCGAGGGATAGTTCATGGCAGAGTTGAGGTATAAGACCTCCTTTGGCAGTATGAAAAGATGGCTCAGCTGAGAAGGAAAGTTCTCAGTTCCCAAGAGGATAATAGAAGGGGGCTCACTCTGAGCTGAGACAGTGTGGTAGAGTAGGGAAGAAGCACTGGAGAACAGGATTCAAATCCTGGTTCTGCTATTACCTTTCTATGTGACCACAGACAAGTCAACTCTTCACTCAGACCTCAGTTTCTCATTCATAAATGAGAAAGGGTCAGACTAAAAGAACTCAGCTCTAGCAGGCTGTGTGGATACGTAGGGGAGGGATTTGCTCAGTCTGCTCATTAAGACTGTCCCTAACCCTTGTGTATGAGTTCTGAATGGTTTTTCTGTGAACAATTCAAGTTAAATAATACTTCCATATACTTCTTTGTTTATTTCTGCTTTTCAAAGTGCATTCAGATTATCTCATTTCATAAAATCATAGGATCTCATACCATACTGGAAGGGATTTCAGAGAGGCTAAATAAATTTCTCAAGGTTACATAGTTAATCAACGGCAGATTCAGAACCAGAATTCAGGTCTCCTGACTTTTTCTACTGTACCATACGCCTTCCTCAAAACTATGCTCCAGTGGAGAGCAAAACCTTAGTGATTTTCACCTGTGAGGCATCAAGCCTTTTATTGTTTTACATTTGTGGCCTGAACGAGACAAATGGAAAAAAACAGAGTCCAGAAATTTATAAGAAAATAGAATGTCTAAACCTTTAAGTGACAAGGGTGAGTGATTCTTGTTACCTTGAATAAAAATGAGAGATAACCAAAGCATACACTAACAAAAGAAAAAAAGAAAAAGGAAGGAAGGAAGAAAGGGAGGGAGGGAGGGGGAGAGAGAGAGACAGAGAGACAGAGAGAGACAGAGAGAGAGAAGGAAGGAAGGAAGGAAGGAAGGAAGGAAGGAAGGAAGGAAGGAAAGAGAATATGCAATTACTTGTACAGGTTTGACAGATCTGTTTCTCTGAATTTTTCTTAGACTTTATTTCTTGATGGATTTATTTGTTTGTTTATTTAAAGAGACCATTTGCCATGGTGGTTAGAGGCTAGATTTGGAATTAGGAAGATCTGGGTTCAAATTTTGCCTCTGAAATCTATGAGCTCTGTGACTCCAGGCAAGACACAACTTCCCTGTGTGGTGGGAAACTCTCTAAGACTGTAAAAAATGGATGTCTGATTCCATAACCCTCCATATTTCTCCAATGCACTTTTCACATTTTACTTTGTATGATATTTATTTAGATGTTCTCCATGATAGTCTCTTTTGGATACTTCCTCATGCTGTCGAGGTTGTCCTGGGCTGCACTAGCAGAAGGCAAGCTCTGGAGGGCCCTTCCAAGTTGCAAAATCTTCAAATACTGGCCTGGTAAGGAATGTGCATCTGCTATCAGGCTGCTCTGAAAGGTTCACCATCAGGTTGACTTCGGGATGCAAATTTTTCAGTGACAGCAAGTCCCAAAATGCATCTACTAGGGCATAAAGGGGATGCAATCTGTATTAATAGAGGAAATTCTGATATTGACAAAAGTAATAGGTCCATGACATATCAAACTAAATTACTTGGATACATGCCTGACCATATCCACTAGGTTATGAGTTCCTTAAGGACAGGGATCACTCATCTTTCTAGTCTCCCTCTCTTCTTCACACAGCTGGGAACTCAAAACAATGCTTCATACATAGTAGGCACTTAATAAATGTGTGTTTACTAGCTGTGTGACCCTGGGCAAGTCACTTAACCCCATTGCCTAGCCAAAAAAAAAGCCAATTTTTTAAAATAAATGTTCATTTAAGTGTTATTCAATTTTACTATTCATAGAACCAGAATTTATTGTAGCAGACTTGATTCTAAGACCCAACCTACTTTAAGTGAGTTCTCTATATGCATGAGAATGAGAAGTCAGTACCTTCATTGGTATAAAAACAATTAGCAAATTCATTTTAATTTGGTTTGGTTTAATTAAATATTATACAATGGAATTCAGTTCAGTTCAAATTTCAATTCAGCATACATTTATTATGTACCTTTTAGGTATAAGGCCCTGGATATACTGGATATTGGACATACAGAAATTAATGACAGAGTTCCCGTCCTAATGAAGTTTATAATCTGTCTAGTAGAGTGCCTTGTGTAAATTTAGAAAACATTTGTAAAACAGGATGAGGTGAAGTTCTTTTTTTTTCTTTGAAGAGGTTCTCAGAAAGAGAGAAATTCAAATTCTTCCCTTTAAACTGTAGCTATTTGCCCTTTGAAGTTAAAGCTTGCATTATTTCTAATTTAAATATTATTGTTCCCATAGTAACAGCCTAGCAGATTCATATTCACTCTGTTAAAGGGCTTCGAGTTATAAAAATCTCAATTTATTCCAAAACATAACTCTTTAAAATACATTTTGGGTTTTTTAATTCAATTTTTTTTTCAATTGACAAGAATTTATTTTTTCTCCCTCCCAATTCCCCCTCCCACTCCTAGGAAAACACAAAAATCTTATAATAAATATTCATACTCAAGCAAAATAAATTTCCTTATTGGCCGTGTCCAAACATAACTTAAAGTTATTGTTTTTTCTTTTGAGAAAAACCATTTCAAATTTTTCCCTCAGCTATGTGATGCAGTGGAGAGAGCACTGGACACAGAGTCAGGAAGACTTGAGTTCAAATCCAGACTCAGATGCTTAAGAGCCATGTAACCCTGGGCAAGTCATTTAACTTCTGTCTGCCTCGGTTTCTCCAATTGTAAAATTGTAGCCATATTAGCACCTACCTCCCAGGATTGTTGTGAGGTTCAAGTGAGATATTTGTAAAGTGCTTAGTCCAGGGGCTGGCACAGGTTAGGCACATAGCATTTAATAAATACTTGTTGTCTCCCTCCTTCCATTTAGCTCTCTAGCTGGAACTAAGAGACTCATCTATGTATAATAGATTTGATTATCTTAGCAACTGACTTCCTTAGAAGGTGCATCCAAGAGTTTAAAGTGATAGAATCCTTTTCAACAGAACAGCAAATTTAAAACAAAACATACTTTTGGGGATGTATTTTTTATTTTTATTTTCCCCAAATAAATGGGAATTGTTTTTTCTTGACTGAATGTTTATTACAAGACTTTTCTCTCTTTTCTTTTTCTTTTTTTCCAGGGAGTTGGGGGGAGGGAAGGGCAGAGTTGGGAGGGAAAGAAAATAAATGCTTGTCTATTGAAAAACTTGCTTGTTTTTTTTTCTTTAGTACTAAAAGGACTTCATGCTTTGGTGTGATGCAGAAAACCCTGAGTATTCCTTCGGTCCTCCTCCCTCCTCATGACAGCAGGACATTGGGTTGCTATTGCAGTTAAAAAGGAGATACTTCTCTGGTTCATTTTCTTCCTTCAGCCCTCTCATGTGTCAGCCATTCTCTCCATCACTAAACTTCACAGGAGAGGAGGGAGGCTGCTCAATGCTCTTTCCTTCAACCCTCCATCTGCTCCCAAGTGGAGTACAGTATGGACTTCACTATCTGAACTTGTTTCTAGGTTCCCTGGATGACTTTCTTGCTTGGTGTTTCCTTTTCTGAGTAATCAGGAAGTCTGCAAGTCAGAGAGGTGTATCTTTTAGGTGTATCTTACTGGTAGCAAAGAGAAATTCTTCATTGGAGATCACCAACAGGAGGCTATATGGGGATAGTTTGGCTAGTGTAGAATCAAGATGAAATACCTTCGGCCTTGCCTAATCAGTGGTCCCACAAACTACTTCATCTTCAGACTTTTGTGATTCAATGTCCAGGCAGAAAGTAACAGACATTATGTCACAGGTTTCTGATTGCTTCATTCTTGTCAATGTGCACTGTGAGTTTTTTCTGTCTTTTAGCATTTCTTTTGTGTGTGGACAATGAATATTTGCCCTTTCACTGATATGCGTTATACATTAAATACCTTTCTACTAACCCCCACCTTTCACAAGACCCTTGACATGAGGTGAAATATGGTCATGGCCTATTTGGTAGTTCTGTAAACTGCTTCATATGTTGGTGTTTAAACATCAATCTCTCAGTAGAAAATAACAGTAGCACTGCCCCTTATTTAAGCTTCTTTCTGTCAAATATGCACTTGTGAATGTTTTCTGTTTAGAATTGCTTTTGTGTGCAGAAAATAAGTACCTGCTCCATACCTGATTTATATTGTGTATTGAGTATCTTTTTACTTCACTTACCTTTTGGGGGAAGGTCCTAAACATGAGTCAACACTTAAATATCAAGCAATTTTCCTGTGCTGAGATGGGAGTATAGAGAGCCAAGAAGTTTGATAAAAAGGAGTCTTATCTTTCCTCTAGATCAAGGTGACCTCGAGGCTGCAGGTTCCCCACCCCGATCTAGATCATGGATTCCTAACCAGGAGACTATGAAATTTTTTTTTAACATTTTGGTAACTATTGAGCATAATTGGATTCTTTTGTATTTTTATGTTTTATTCTATGCATTTTAAACCATCATTCTGAGAAAGGTTTTATGGGTTTCACCAGACTACCAAGGAGCATGACACAAAAACCCCTGGACTAGTTGTTCAGGATTCCTGAGGGCTGCACCCGGTCTGGGCCATGTGCACGAATCTGGAGTAAATGGGCTCCTCAGTAAAGAAGGGAGTGACTTTACCACTCTAGAACCTTGGGTGGATCCCATAGTGGTTCCCAGTGGTAGAAGGGGAGGGTTTAGATGCAGTAGTTCACTTTCCACCCTTGGTTCCAGCATTCTTAGCCCATTTGAATGATTGCTTATTCCTTTAGTTCTCAATGTCAGTGATCAGGAAATAATCTCAGTATTGCATCTTCTATTCTGCCTAGCTCTCTATTGGTTGTTGTCGTCTAGTTGTTTTAGTTGTGTCTGACCATACATGACCCCATTTAGGGTTTTCTTGGCAAAGATACTGGTTTGCCATTTCTCTCTCCAGGTCATTTTACAGAGGAGGAAAGTGAGGCACACAGGGTTAAGTGATTTGCCCAGGATCACAAAGCTAGTAAGTATCTGAGGCTGGATTTGAAGTCAGGTTTTCGTGACTCCAGACCCAGACCTCTATCCACTGTGTCACCTAGCTGCCCTCTCTCTGTTGGTAGTCAGTGCTTATTTAGAGTAATTACAATAACTCCTGGCCAGCATAAATTGGCATTAATAAAGTTTAATCTTTATTCTGTGTGTTTGAGTGATCTGCAAGCATTGGCTCAAATATAAAAACTTTCTAAATGAGAAGTTCTTTATCTTTTTTTGTGTCATGGATCCCTTTGACAATTTAGACTATGGACCCCTTCTCAGAATCATGTTTGTTGCCTACATTCATAATTGGAAGAAATGCCAAATTTCAGTTAGAAGTTAGTGAAAATAAAGATGTTGGGTTTTTTTTGTTTGTTTTTGTTTTTTTGTTTTGTTTTTTACCATTCAAGTTGACAAGCCATCTGAAATCTATCTACCATGAACCCCTGGCTAAGAACCCTTGCTCCAAAGTGTGAATAGACCAGAAGGACACAGGTTTAGGCAGTGAAGGATCCAATATTAGATCTTGTTCTTAAAGAATACTTTTGCTGCCATAAGTGATGGACAAAAGGCTACAGAAAAAAGAATAGATTAAAAATCTAAAAAGAAACTTCAACAACTTCAAAATTTTGCCTTAGGTTAACCCTGAACTTAATATCAGGTTCTCTCTTTTTTCCTGGGAGTTTATGTCTATTTTTTTTAATTTTTAAAGGTATTAATTTTGTCTGCCAACCCTTGAAACTGTGTGGCTAAGTTAGACTTCTAATTATAATCAAATCTTTAGTGCTTTAAATACTGTATATGATCTCTAGGTAAATAGATCTTAGTATGAAGTAATGTTGTATAGTGGGGAGAATATTGGATCTGGAACAAGAAATTCTCCAGTTCAAAACCTGCCTCAGACTCATTAGCTGTGTAAACAAGGGCAAATCACTTATCGTTTCTGAGCCTCAGTTTCCTCATCTGTAAAATGAGAGTAATACTATCACCTAACTCACAAAGCTGTTGTGAAGCTCAAGTAACACAGCATAGATAAAGTACTTTGCAAATCTAAAATATCAATGTGAGCCCAATATTACAAGAGTAGTACCTTTGGAGTAGCTTGACCTCAACTCAGCATTTGCAGGGTGTAAATTGCTTCCTCAGGGGCCCAATTATTCTCAAGTTTACAAGTATTCTCTGAATCTATACTCTTAAAATGATAGCTCACAAGCCCTGATATATCTTGCAAATTTGCCCAAGCCTGAAAAGGGCTCACTCTTTGCATGTGTCACTCCAGCCACCAATGGTACCTTTGCCACTCTTTAGATGCAAGTTCAAGGACATTATCCTCTTCTCTACCAAATTTCCCAGGACTATACCACTGAGGCTTG